GTTGGAATTACAGGTCTGTGCCATCACACCTGGTCAAATCCTCAAAAGTTTAATTTACTTTATTAATTTTTTTTTCCATTTTATTTTGCCTACAATCCTAACTTTATTTCCTCTCCAATCCTGCAAAGTTTCTTACTTAGTTAAATAAGACGATACAAACAATATCTCAACTTCATCAATTTCTTTTCTTTGTTATTCTTTGTAATACTGCAGCTTCCTCTGCATTCTCATTTTACCAGAAGCCTTAGAAGGCATCTATGTTTACTTTTATCTTAACTGTTTGAAATAAACAAGTTGTTTGGTTAAGGAAATGAGAAGACCGAAATGCAGAGAAACAGATCAGCAACAAAAGTTTTGAAATTTATCCCACACATAAAAACATTTTTCCTCTATATATCTCCCTCTACGAAATATTTCACAAGCAGGAACCAGGGAACAATGTAAAATGAACAAGTGCATACTTTTAACATTGACATGAATTCCCAGCAGAATCTAATTAGTCCTAGATATGAGGAAAATTGGTGATTCCAATGACCACTATTTTTGTTGGTTTGAGGCCGAGGGAGATGCATTTAGACATCCTTTGGGTATGGTCCCCTGTCTAAGCTGATTTCATAGCTAACTATACTGACTGTCTATAAAATACTTAAACCTTTCTGGTTTGCTAAGTAATTGAAGTACCACTGTGAGAATTAAAATGCCTGGTGATGCAGGTCTACCTCATCGTGGGCTACTAATCACATATGCCTTCTCTATGAAGCTCTTAGTTGAATATCTGCCATTTAACTTTGGGAGGTTTACTCAGGGACCTAGACTTAGGGGCATACTGCACCGTTACATGTTTGTTTAGATTAATTTTATTGGTCCATGATGTGTCCCTTTCAAGTGATCAAACATGTTTCCCAATTTACAAGTTATATATGCCAGCGAAGAAGACTTAGGCTAGATGAAATCAGAGAATCTTAACTTAGAGATCATCTAACCAACCTTTCTGGTAATACAGAGGGAGAAATTGAGGCTCAATGACTGAAGAAACTGCCCTAAGATTGTGTAGCTAACTAGTAAGATAGGTGGATTTCAAACCCAGAACCAGCAGATATATATTATACTTGTCGTTATACCATAATATACAACTTCACTTTTAAATCTTTAACTGAAGAAACATACGATTTTATTATTTATCACCTTTGGCCCAGAGTTCTAACTGCAGGTTAAATATTTTCTTACCCTTCTCTTTCGATTCCCTAGAGAAAGGAGCTGTGAAACACACCTGTTTTGTCTTTAAAGACCACTGTATTCCTTGCAGAAACTCTACAAACCTTCCTGCAATCTGTCATTAGAATCTTACTAACATAAATACAGAAATTAGTTATCTGCCTGAAGTCTGTGCATTCACTACTGAAAAAAATAATGGAGTAGAGGCAGACACTTATACAAGTATACTGAAAAGAAATCTAGTTTGCGAATATAATTTATGGCTAATATAAATAGCTTACTAAATAGCTGAATGAGATGCTATATGCTATAGCATATATATATATATATATATATATAAATGTATATGTATTAGTATATATGTTATATATATGTATTAGTATATAAGGTATGGAAATACAATAATGTCCCACTATAATGTTTTCATGGTTTGAGACCACAGTACCAGAGACTATGCTATAATGAAGGCCTCCTGATACTTCTAGAGGTAAGGAGTATGTGTGAGTACAGTGTAGGAGAGGAACTACCTTCTGAGGATTCTTACGTTATAGCATGTTATGATGTGATTTCACACACAAATTATAATATTATCACAATAAGGATTTTATTACAATTTAGAGGATGACATATAGCTTCACATTATTACCCCAAACATTCTGCTACATACTTTTCATATATTGCCAAGTTAATCCTCAGGAATATTACCATTTCATTTTTACAGACCAAGAAACTAAGATTCAAAGAGATTAAGTGGTTTATCCACAATCATAAAGTTTATAATATACAGACCTTGGACTTAAACCCAAGAGTATCTGACTCCAGGGCCATTAGATTTTTCTTCTTGCATTGCCATTACTCACAAAATTTAGAATAAAAGCTCTTCTTAGCATTTCATCAATATCTTTGGCACATCAAGTTGCTACTATGCATCCATTAGATATTTAAAACTATGTTAGGCTCCATCCATCTATCCATTCATCCATTCATCCATCCATCCATCCATCCTTCACATAGATATTAGGTACCTGGTACATCCCAGGCACTGTGCTAGGCATGAAGGATATACACACTGGTGAGTGAAAAGAAGATCCTCAAATCTTCTGACATAGAGGAAAGAGTCACTAAATAGTCATACATATAAATACAACATTATAACTGCACTGAAAGTTCTGATGGATTAAAAGTGGCTTTAGCTACTGAAACTTAACAAGGTACTGTAGCACCTAACAGAGGTTTCTGAATTGAATATGGAGGGTTATGAACAGTTCCTCTGAGGAAATGATTAAGCCTGAAGAGTAAGTAACATTACTTAGGTGAGGAAGATTGTGCTTGGTTGAAGAACAGCATGTGCAGAGATTCGGAGATGAGAGGTAGCACTGCATGTCTGACGTCATGGGAGAAGGCTGGTGTGGATGTGGCAGAGACAGCGAAATGAAGCACAGTACTTGGGCGAGAGGGCAGGCACAGCCAGATTATACTTGGCCTTGGAGGCCTTATAAAGGACTCTGGGTTCTATCCTAGGAGCAATAAGAGATCACTGAAAACCCAAGATAGAAGATAACATAATCAGATTCACATTTTCTAAAAGCTTACAGTGAGATGAGGAGAAATGATTCGGGTGAACAGAGAGTAGATGTAGGAAGAGCAGTTAAGAGGCTATTGGAGTAGCCTAGGCAGAAAATGAATGTATCTTAAATCTAAAAAGGTAAATGTAGAAATGAAAAGAAGCAAATGAATTTGGGATCTAGGAGGTAAAAGTGACAATTTAGTAACAGCTTGAATATACAAAGTGAGAGAGAGAAAGATTCAAAGACGACTCAGGTATCTGGCTAGTACAATTTTCATTAACAGAGAATACTGACAGACAAATGTGGTTGGGGGAAGGAAAGAGAAGTCATGGATCCAGTCTTAACATGTTATATTTACGATGCCTTTGAGGTATATGAACAGCGTCAATGAGGCAATAAGACATGAGTTAAGAGCCCAGAGAAGTCTGTATAAATATAAATTTCTGAGTTACTTGAGAATAAATAGGAAGAAGAAATCACCTGGGGAGAGAAAAGACCCAGGACCAAGACGTGAGAAATTTCAGTGTGTAATGCGTCAGTAGAAGGAGATGAATCTATACAGGAGACTCAGAAAGAATAACCAGTGAGAAAGGAAAACAAGTGGGAGCACGCAACATTACAGAAGCCACGGGAGGAGAGGGCTTTAAGAATAAGAAGTCATTAACAGTGCTGAGAGGTCAAGCAAAATACAGACTCTTAAAACTTTCTCAATTTATTATGAAGTCATTACTGATGCTATCATAATCCTAAAGAGGAGTCTAATTTGAGAGCGCAAAACAACACTTACATAGAAACTACAGAAAACAGATGCGAATTCTTCAAATGCTATAGAAATCCAGCAAATGAAGGCTCATTTTGGCTGATCACCCAGAAATGTCTTTACAGAGATGGAAAGTCTTAAGAACTTTTGGGAGCCCACAGATGAATGACTGAAAAGCGCTCCCTAAAGGCTATTACATGAGAAGGGCGCACTGTGCGGGGTGGGGTGGGGTCGGTGGGTGTGAGTGTGGTGCTAAGGGCTGAACTGCAGGCAATCTCCTTGGATTCCTGTTTTTCATCTATAAAATGGGAAAAAAAGGTTCTTTGCAAAACTGTTTCAGAATTATAAGATGGTAGTATGTGACTCAATCTAGCAAATGGGGACTAATACTGTTTTATTAGTATGTTAAGAGAAAGCAGGAAATATATTCAAACAGATAACGTTGTATACCTTGGTTGGGAGCCTTCTGTTTACTAGAGGGCTCTGACCTTTGTTTCCTATATTTACCTATAGACAAGGGAAAAGCATCAGATAGAAAAGTTTAGTTTTGGGGCCTATTTTAAGATAAATATATGTCACAGACTTTAATAATGGATAGTAAATATATAACTACTTAGTAAGTATATTAAAAGTAAGAATATATTCCTATTTTGTATTAGGGCTAATTGTGTAGAGGGGAGAGAAATAACAGAAAAAAGGGAAAAAGCAAGCCACAACAAAAAGCAACTAAAATCGAGGGTAAGAAACAGAGGATGAGAAAGGCTAAAGAGGTCAGAGAAACAGAAAAGACAGAAAGATGGGGAAGAGACAGACAAGGCCTGTGACAGGCAGCATCTGCCTACAATTCCTTGATTCCTCTACTGCCTCTCCTTACTATCTTTATTTATAGTCCAAACTACAGTATCCCATCTAAGTTGCCTCCTTCTCTGCCTGGTCATGCCACTGCTAACGTCTGCAGCCCAGCGTGCTCCTCCTCCCAGGAATCTCTGAATTGATATTGAACTTGCCAGTAGACCTGTATTACCACACAGAGTTCTAGGCTACTTCCTCTCAACTGTTTAAACAAAACTCAGGGCTGGGGATATAGCTCAGTGGCACAAGCGCCTGCCTGGCAAGCGCAAGGTCCTGAGTTTGATTCCTGGTACCAAAAACAAAAATAAAAACAAAACAAAACAAAAAAAATAAACAAAACCCAAACAGAGCTCATCTACATCTGCCTCTGCTAAACTAACGAGGACACCTTGCAACAGAAATGAGGAATTATGTTTAGAGAACACTGGGATCTTCCTTGGGGATGCTTGTTAGGAGGTACCCTGAAAAAGGCTTTCATTTTATGAGATGAAAAGAGTAATGGACATCATTAAAAAATTTGCTAAAAGCTAAACAAAATTAAGCCAAGGGGGAAAAAACCCCACACTTGGAGACGATGAGACCCAAGTTATTAAGTGTCCTCTTACTGTGTGCTGAGGACCATCTTCATTGTCCCTCATGTAGAACGGCTTGAGTGCTAGAGGATAATCTGTGACAAAGACTGGTGTGTTGCCACAGTGCTTCACCAGGTACTTCTCATGTTCAGTTTGTAGATCAAGACCCCACTGTAATGAGAGAAAATTAATGATAAAAAGGGAAGACAGAGCCCAGATACACAACAAAGCACCCCCACACGACCTCTATCCGTTTCAAGGGCTTCCTCTCCCTGAGGCTCAGTGATGTGTACAGCTTTCAGCTGAGGTTACACAGCTGACTAAACTGAAGTGAGATACTTTCAGCCAACTGCCTGGAAAGATGAAAGTCCTGTCTCAAGGAGTAGCATTCAGCTGCTGAATCGTAGCCCGTAGGAAAACAAAGTACACTTTCCAAAGGGATAAAATTTACTTCAGAACTGCAAGTTTTTATTAATATTGCCCAGAGCTTCTCCCACAGTCACTGATTCTAAATCTCAGGAAATTAAATAAGGGAAGCAATGAGTCTATCTTTGGTTAGATGCTTCTCTTGGTGAATTTTTAAAAATAAGTCATATATTAGATGCTCTAATATGTATGTATGTATCTACTTATTTATTCAGTGGCATTGGGACTGAACACAAGGCTTTTGCACTGAACTACCTCCCGAGCCCTTTTTACTTATTTTTAAATTTTGAGACCAAAGGATCACAAGTTTGAGCCTTGCCCGGGCAACTTAGCTACTTGGTAATTACTCTAGGAATCAACTAGTTCAGTTCAATATTCTGAATGATATTAAAAGGTGACAGACAGTAAAGGTTATATGATTAAATCAAGACGACCCTTGTTCTCAGTCTTGACTCCTTTGTGTGGGCCATTGTGAGCACCAGTGTCCTCAGCTGCTGCTTCATAAAAGCAGTACTAAGTCTGCACCAAAAGAGCACACAAGCAGCCTAGGAGTGGCAGCAGGGAGCGGTGGCAGTGGTGGGAGAAAAGGACTGGAATAGAAACGAGGAGACTTGCCTCTAGCATGTGGTAGGTCTGGACCTATACTCTTGCCAATACAATAAAGGAGTTCTTTCACAGAAACAGCGAGCAGAACAGTGGTGGTCAGAGGTGGGGCTGGGGAAATAAAGAGATGCTGAGCAAAGGGCTCAAACTTTGAGCAAGATGAACAAGTTCTGGGGATCTAATGTATAGTGCGGTGCTGACAGATATGTTCTTTAATTTGATTGTGACCATCATTACACAATGTATACATACATCAAATTATCACACTATATACTTTAGAAAGAATCTTTATTAGTAAATATTTCAGAAATAAAATTTTTCGAAAAGGGTTATTTTGAGTGCTCAAAATTAAAGGCTCTATAAAATTCAAAAAAACCATGTTGCCTAAACTTATTTAATCATATAGCCATTTTGTGTCTGTCACCTCTTATTTTTTAACAAATTAATTCTTTGTTTGTCTTTTTGAGACAGAGACTCACTATTCAGTTCAGGCTTGTCTTGAGCTCACTTTGTAGCCCAGGCTGGTCTCAAACTCACAATGATCCTCATGCCTCAGCCTCCCAAGTGCTGGGATTGCAGGCGTGTGCCTCCACACCCAGCCAAGTCTGTCACCTTTTAATATCATTCAGAATATACATTGGGAAACAGTGCACTAGTTGATTTGTATAGTACTATTCTATGATTATCACTCTCTTTTATCATTTTCATATTCCTAAATTTAAGGGACTTGTTTATAGCCCTTTAGTCACTGCTACTTCAAATAATACAATTCTACTTCAAAATTATTTTTCATCTTAAGTAGTTCAACAAGATCCAGCAAACATCAAAGGCTATGTAGTGATGAGAAAATACTACACATGTCTAATAAGAGAAGTAAGATTATTTTGAAGGGATCTTAATAATGTAAAAACAAAGGACAAGAGAGAAACATGTCACATGCACACAAGTGCAACTTACTACCTCTGGGGTGAAGGTGAAGTTGTGGGCTGCTTTCTTTAAGATCTCTATGGCCTCTGTGTAGGAAATGCTGGAGGAAAACAAGGGAAAAGCAGAGAAAGGGTTAATACAACGGATCTGTGTTTAACTAGGTCATCTTAAAACTACAAAAAGCACATCCCATATAGTTTGCGAGGTCATAAGTGAACACTGAATAATCAGGAATTAAAGCTGATCTAATCCCATGCAGGTCTGATCTGCATGAAGAGAAGTAGATGTTCAATAACTCATTCCTGATGAATTTGTAACATACACAGAGGAGCTAAGTCACTTCAGCAAGTGCGGATTTGCTTTGAGTCCATGTTATACCAATGCCATATAAAAAAAGGTATGAAATACTAAGGATGAAAGAGCAATAGAATTTCCTAGAAGCATCATTCATCCAACAAACATATATTTGGCACCTACTAGATGCTACATACGATTCCAGGCACTGCGGATAGCAACAAAAACAAAGGCCATGCATTCATGAAGACATGATGGATGAGAGAGAGGAGGAGGGTGGGAGGGAAGGAGAGACAGGAAGAAGAAGAAAAAGCAGAGGAGAGAGGAGGGAAGAGGAGGGAGGAAGAAGAAGAGAGACAAGAGCGGAGAAGGGGAGGGAAGTAATGCTAGGTAGCTATTAGTGCTATGAGGGAAAATGAAGGGAGGTAAGAATACAGAGAGTGTTTGCGGGGTGCCATGTTAGATAAAATAGTCAGGAAAGGCCTGAGCTGGTGACATGTGAACATAAACCTGTATCCAGTGAAAAAGACGAACTATGTAACTGTTCGGGGAGAAATGTTCTGGGCAAAAAGAACAGCAAGTACAAGGGCCTAAAGTGAGGAACAGTCTGGCTTGCTAAAGGAACAGAAAGGTCACTGTGTCTGGAGCATATTGAACAAGTGGAAGAATGCCAGAAAATTAGGTAAGAAAGGCAGTCAGAAATCAGATCATATGGACTTTCTCAGGCCATGGTGAGGACTTAGTAGTATATTCTATGTACTATAAGACCTTTAAGAAAAATACCACTGGTTCTCTTAATAAATTCTCATGTCTAAAAGAAGACAAATCAAGAATTTGTTTTAATTTCACAGTGTGAACAAGTAATATATCTATATAGTAAAAAAACAAACCCTTAGTATGTATAAAAGACCACAAAACCCAGGCCTGGTGCATGTGCCTCTAGTGCCAGCTACTGCGGAGGCTGATGTGGGAGGATCACGTCAGCACAGGAGCGGAAGACCAGCCTGGGCAACAAAGCTCGACCTCACCTCAGCAAAACAGATGAAACTACATATTTCTATTTAATGCTATTACAGACTGTTTTTATACACTAATTATGTATCTCCCTTCCTTCCCTGTCCTATAGCCACCAGGTTCCTTTCCTCTCATACAGTCACTCTTGTTGGTTCCCTGTGTATCCTTCCAGAAGAATGAAAAAATATACACATAGCATATATAAGTAAATACTAATAATCTTTTCTTAGTGAATATCAGTAACAGCATATATGTATCATAAATTCTCTCTCATACCTTATTTTACTCACTAATATACCTTGCTGATCTATCTATGCAAAAAACTTTGTTTTTTCAATTAAATAATATTCCATTTTATGGATGTAACATACATAATTAGCTTAACCACCTATTTATTGATGGATATTTTGGGTGTTTCTAATTTTTTTGCTATTACAAATCATGACTACCTATTTCTATTTAATGTTATTACAAATAATTCTTTCATTTTCTATTTCTTCAATTTTAATTTTTATTAGTACACATTTGCAGTACATAATGCTTACACTCTTTGTGGGGAGTTGCTCCATGCACAGAACACACTGTCATTCCTTTTTCATCCCCTTTCCCTCCCCTCCCTCCATCTCTTGGTCCTCTTTTCATTTGCAAAAGATCTCTCTATTTTCTATTATTTTTTACTTTGCTTTTTATTTATATTTGGGGTTTCCCACATAAGAGAAACCATATGATAAAAACTCGGGTGTCTGATTTACTTTACTTAACATTATTGTCCCAAGGTTCATCCATTTTCCTACAAATCACAAGTTTATCCTTTATGGCAGAGTAGTACTCCTTGTGTATAAAGACCACATTTTCTTTTCCCATTCAACTACTGATGGACATATAGGCCACTCCCAAGATTTAGCTATTACGAGCTGTGTTGCTATAAACATGGGTGTGTATGTATCATTGTAATATGATGCCTTTAACTGCTTTGGAGGAATGGCGGGGTTGAATGGAATTTCTAATTTTAGGTTTTTGGGGACTCTCCACACTGATTTCCATAGAGGTTGTACTAGTTTATATTCCCACCAACAATGCAAAAAGATTCTTTTCTTCCTGCAGCTTTGCCAGGATTTGCTATTATTTGATTTCTTAATGATAATCATTATTTTTGGAGTAACATGGAATCTGTGTTGTTTTAATATTACAAATAATTCTTATACACTAATTATGCACTTGAAGAATTGTTGGCTCAAAATCTGTAATTTTTTTTTTTTTTTTGAGACAGGATCTGGCTCTGTAGTTCAGGGTGGCCTTGAACTCACTCTGTAGCCCACACTGGCCTTGAACTCTTGGTGGTTCTCCTGCCTCAGCCTTGTGAATGCTGGGATTACAGGCAAGTGCCACCATGCCTGGCTATAATCTGTAATTTTTATATATTCTGATAGTCAAAGATGTTAGCGCTCTTTTATAGGGGTATATAAACTGATGCACATCAGTAAGAAATGAAAATGTCAGTTACCTTACAAACTGCAGGAAAAATAAAGCAACAGTACTTTGGATAAAAATAATTTGAAAACTTTTTGAAGAACTTCGAGCTAAAAAAATAGTTCACCCAGCACAAACTTGTGTTCTGAGGAAAAGTGAATTTCCTACCTATAAGAACCAACTAGATAGTTTTGTGTTACAGTACAAATAAAGCCCCCAAAGCTATGTTTATGTGACAGTATGTTTTCAGAAAATGAAATTTTTAAAAAATCAAAACCTACTGTTAAATAATATGTAATTTGTAAGGTAACAATGGTGGTGCTCATAGTAGTAACAATAATAGTCACAGTAGTAACAATAATTTTACATTATGTTATGTTATTTTATATATCTTTTTGAGATAGGGTTTTGCTATGCAGTTCAGGCTGGCCTTGAACTCACTTTGTAGCCCAGGCTGGCCTCAAACTCATAGTGATCCTCCTGCCTCAGCCTCCCACATGCTGGGTTACAGGTGTGCACCACCACATCTGGCCTGTAACAATAATTTTAAAATTACTATTTTACATAAGAGATACTGAAACTTTGAGAGAATAAGTAGCTGGCCAACAATCACTCATGTAAGTAATAAATCCTCATCTGCTGACTCCTGAGTCTCTGCTTTAACTGATAATATACTGCCTAAAAGTGGTGGGAGTTTCATATGTTGAATCAAAACAAAAGATAATGGGCTCTGAGTTCTTCTTCTGACTCTACCACTAAGTAATAATATAAATCACTTCAACTTAGTGAAAGCATATTATCAATTTTTATAATGTGTTATACAAACATTTAAAAGTATTTGCAACTGTAAAATAAGATCGCAGTAGCTTGACTTTTAAGTTCTGGTGTGTTTACACATTCTGTTATTTTGTTACACTATTTCTTTATATGATCCTCCAATTACACCAAAAAATATTAAGAACAGTCAGAATGTGAAGCAGTAGGATTTTGTATCATTGGTACATTCCTGCTTCATTATTAAGAAAAAACAACTCTCTGAATACCTCTTACAGGGATAAACATCTCCTCTGACCCACTCTCCCAACACCTTGACTTAGGATAATGCTTGCAAATTCAAGTTACAGCTCTGACACTGGAGATCCTTAAGGGCCATCATCAACTCATTCTACTAAGTATTTTTCCTTGATAAATACAAAGAATAACATGTCTTCTCCTTTCCAGAAACTGTTCCCCAAGTGCTCCGGGGAGAGAAAGAAAGAGACGTGGTGATACTGCACAACACAGTATCAAACTACCTTCATATTTCAAATTTGTCATTGTTAAATGAAGCTGGAGTAAAACCTTTAAGGTAAAGAGACCAGTTTTGACATTTTTTTGCCTCAACTTCACATAAACAAATATATGAAGATTTCATATTATAAAGGAAACTTAAAATAATTAAGTTCTAGCTGGGCATGGTGGCACATGCCTGTAATCCCATCACTCTGGGAGGCTGAGGCAAGAGGACAGGGAGGTCAGCCTCAGCCTGGGAAACTCAGCAACTTAAGGAGACCCATTTGAGAAATAAAAAATAATAATTAAAAAAAGTGTTGGGGATATAGCTTAGTGAAAAGGCTTGGGTTCAGCTCAGTGTGTTTTTTTTTGAGGAGAGAGTTCCATCTCTATGTCTGCTTTGTAAATATTAAATTCAATTACTATACAGGGCCCTTAATATATTTCCATATAAAACTATTTTAACAGGGGCTGGGGATTTAGCTCAGCGGCAAAACATCTGCCTGGCAAGTGCAAGGTCGTGAGTTCGATTCCTGGTACCTGAAGAAAAATGAAAAACAAAAACAACAACAACAACAAAAACTACTTTAACATATATTGAATGATACACTGAAATCTGTATTCAAAAGGACACAGGTCATGTGGTATCCCTCATACATTAATAATTAGTAGAGTCTATACAAAGGACAACACTTTATTTTGCCATCTCTGGTTTTTACTTGTTTTCATTTACTTTTTAAAAGGACTACTCATGGGTAGATTCCAGCATGCCTATATTTTCAGGAATTTCAGTCAGCATCTTAAAGAGTGTGAGGTCGCTGAAGGATGGTGGTAAGCTGTGGAAAGTACCACCAAACAACTGCCCACCTCTCTCACTCTGACAACACTGATTCGATAATCAATGTGAACACACTATCATCATCCTGTTACTTTCAGTGCCTACTCTGAGCACTTCAACATGCACATCTGACTTCAGCAGCCTAAAGTGAGTATCTCTCCCTTCCTTTCAAAGAGCACAAGGATTAACACATTTCAGCTACGAACACACTATCCAGTTTTATATGTGACTGCTGCCTACTATTTTAGTTCTAAGGTGACACCCCCTCAACAATGTGAATATATTATCAATATAGTGTTTTAAACTTCCTGGGGATCTAATCGTGCTCCTTGTTAGGACTGTTACAGTCACATATGGTGGCTTGGTTTCTGTATTAGTATTTAGGTAATTTCGAGGTGACTTAAAGTATATGAGAGGATTTCTTAGGTTTTATGCAAATATAGCACATCATTTTATGTAAAGAACCTCAGCATCCATGGATTTTAGTATTTATGGGGGGAGAGGGGTTCCTAGAACCAATCCCTGGTGAATATCGAGGGATAACTGTATAACTTTAATTGCAGTAATACAGTTCATAAATTATACTAAATATACTATATACTAAATTCATTTATTTTGGTATAATTTATCAATTTATTTACGATAATACAGGTTATTAACTATGAGCCAGACACAAGAGTTATAAAGATAATCAGGACATAAGTCTTGTTTCAAATCTGGGGAGTATGATAAGCAGATTTACAAACAAAAAATTGTAATTCAATGCAATAAATACAATGATAAAGTATGAGTAAAGTTCAGAAAAAAATAAAGTATCTACTTACATTAAAAAGTTGTTTTTTAGCATGTGTTCTAATCTGTCCTTGATAAGAAAAGACAAGAAAAAATTCACAATGTAATTATAGTCATTGCATGTCATTAACATACTTAAAAGAGCAGCTATACTGGGCTTTATTCACAAAACTAATTACCTTGTGACCAGGAGCTATGAATTTGTGACAGAGTTCAACATCTTGAGGACAATTTGAGAGAACACTCATTGCTGTAGCCTTGAAGAGATCCTCCATAACCTAAGAGAAACGGCACAGAGCTGCCTGAGAAGTGAGCAACTTTATACAAAAAAACCTGCTGGGGGGTGGGGCGGGCTCTGCGGCCTGCCTCCAGGTTTCAGCAACTGTAAATCCACTAAGCCTCTGAACCCTTGAATGTACTCCAGCAAATTAGTCCGGTTTCCCAGGAAGCTCAATTTCTTCTCAGAGAGGGAGGGAAAGAGACAGAAAAAAGATTGAATCTTAAGTTAACAGCTTCAATACTTGCAGTGAAGTGAGATGTTAAATGAACAGCTATAACTGATGTTTTTCTAAATATCAATAAACTGATTTGTAGAATCAGGACAATAATAGTACCCAGCTCACAGGATTTTGTGAGAATTAAATAAGATAATCCATCTATCAGACTTATTAGCTTAGTACCTGGCTCACAGAACTATGTAAGTATCAGCTGCTGTGAAGAGTAAGAACATTTTGAAAAGTGTTTCACTTAATCACAGGTAAGTAAAAGTCAGCTCTAAAATTTGAGAGGCAATGATGTTGACAGCTAAGTTATTTAGAAATAACAAGGTTAGGCCCTGGAAAAAGGTCAGTGAAGAAGACAACCGTGGCTGGAGGCACATTTGTTGAGGTCAGGCCTCAGGACAGAGAAAAGACTACATCCAGGGGGACCAAAACCTCTCCAGCCCATTACTTCCTGGAAAGTCCTTGTTTGTTCCATTCCACATATGCTTGCTATGGGACTAGCTTCCCCATTTAATCAGTATTACTTAAACAATTTTACTTGTAATTTTCTTGACTGACCATAATTTTGTTCCACCTTATACCCACCTTGTGATTTTCCATTGGAACAATATCACCTAAGCGACTATACTTGTAATCTTATCAGTTAACTATGGTTTTGTCCCACCTTAACCTGCCACACCTTATGGTTTTGCTCTATAAAACTTGGGTTCCTCAGCAACCCACTTGGGACCCCTTTCTGTACCTCTTAGAAGCCTTCTTTCTCTCAGTAAATACTTCCTACGCTTAACCTCTATTGTTCTTAGAATTCATTTTTTGATTCTGGAGAATATGGACTCTGTATTGGCCATCTAGCAGGTAAGGAATTATATTTCCCTTATATTATTTGGACTTTTTGGAGGTACTATATCATCCCTATATCATGTGTCCTACATCAATGAGATATAGCTAAATATAAATGTATACTATTTTTTGCCAAAGAACAAGTAAAATAATATGAATCTGCATATCACAAATCAGTATATAAGAATTTGTTCTACAAGTTGTGCCCATAGAACATTCATGGCAGATATTTGTTCTTAGAAGAAAACAGTAACTGGGTTGGAAAATATTTCTAAAATCTCTTTGTAAATCAAAAACTAAAATTTTGGGAGACCTGGGTCATAGGTGAGTGGGAGAGCACATGCTTTAGTATCAATGAGGCCCTGAGTTCAATCTCCAGCACCAAAACAAACAAACAAACACAAAACAAACAAAAAAGTAAAAACCGAAATTTCTGGTTAAAACCAGAAATGAGCTCTCTTTAGCCCTGCAAATGTTACGTTCATGAACATGTACTTATAAAGTACAGGTTGCTTCAGAGGGAGGAAATCTTTTCCTCTGCTGCATCACTGGTATATCCTATCCCGGGCTAGAAACACAGTAGGGACACAACTGTCTACTGAAGGAATTTAATATGATCAGATATAGGAAAATAATCCAATTCCAAGTGATAACCACGTATAGTTTATGAGGCATCGGTCTTTATTAGTGTCATTTAATGTAGATGTCTTGCTAAGCTGTATTACATTTCTGGTTTATTCTTTCTGTTACTACAGCCATATATCTTTCCAATCAGCATGTACATTTAATATATGGAAAGAAACTGGTGAGCATATGGGTTTCTAAGCTCTGACAGTGTAACAGTAATGAGAACTAAGTTGGCGGATAGAAAAAACAAGCTAGAATCCAAAGACTAGACAAGCGTCAGGATAACATTGAAGGGATAAACAGAATTAAAGTAGAACTTTCTAAGGGCCTTATACTCTGAGAAGAGATGTCTAAATGTAGACGTGGTGTAAAAAAGTAAAGTAAACCACTAAAATTACAGAACTAGAATAATAAACAATACGTTCTAAACCAGTGGGAGAAAAGAAAGAAAACCAGATGAATTGTGTGGGGAGGGAAGCAGGAGAGAGAAATACATTGATGACAGAAGGACAGCTGGAGGCTACAGATCCTTTACCTTGAGCCTATTTCACCTTCCAAGCCAGCAGTGAGATAAAGAAGTTACTAAATAACTGAACAGTTTATGATCCTAGGAAAGAAAAACAGTGCGGAGATTGCACGGGGGTGGGGGGGTGGGTAGACTGGACGTACATGTGTGGTATTCTGGGACTGTTAAGAGACACAATACACCTATCTATAACCTAAGACTTTGACCACAACTAGGGCTGTTAAACTGGCGGTCTTTCTTAAGCAGGAAACTTCCATTTAAAATTGAAAACCACTGACTTCCCTAACCTTGACTTTCAGATCCTGTAAAAATACATTTGAAGAAAACAGAAACTGAAGGTTTAGCCTAATGCTAAGATGTTTTAAAAATGTATTAGTAAATGTCACTAAAACAGTAATTCTTAATTATACTTTTAGTTCATGAGAGGAAACAGTATTTTAGTACAATAGTCTGATTTAATATTTAAGTGAATGCTTTTCATCAAGATGTTTCCACAGAATGTAATTCATAAAAGGAAGCGAAAGCAAATTATTTCTGAGGAGCACACTTTTTTCTTCTGTCTCTAGGAAAAATGGTCATATTCCAAGTAACTAAATCATTCAACAGTGCATGCCTTGAGTACCTTGGACGAGTGTGGTAGAATAACAAGCAGCAAATCCCTGACACCAAAACTTGGGCATTCTCTTTACTTAACTTAACTTTCTAGTTATTGTTAAATTCATGAAGGTCAGCATTAAGATTCACAAAATTAGTCAGAGGCCTTTTTGTATAACTATGTAAGGAACATCTAATTTGGGATAATTCCGAGATAAAAGTAGAAATCTTTTACTACTTGTAGCTAATACATGGAAACATAAAAAATGAACATGGCAATGTTCATGATAATGTTTCAATATAGGTATACAATGTGCAATGTTGATATTATAGCAAATAGATCTATTTCCTCAATCATCTATAATTTTCTCAAGGTGAAAACATTCAGTATCTTGTCTTCTCATTTTTTTTTTGATGTACAGTGCATAAATATTCTCCATATTCACCTTATTATGCAATACCACATCAGAGTTTCTTACTCTTATTGGTTACTTTGGATCTTTTGGTCAATTGTTCCCTCACCCTCCTTACCCCTGTTCTCTCCCAGCCTCTGGTAACCATCACTACACTATCAACTTTTCTGAGATCAATGTTATACTCCATATATGTAAGGACAGCATGCAGTATATGTCTTTTTGTGTCTGACTTAACATAATGACTCACTTCTATCTGTAGATTCCTAGTATTTTTTTATTTTATGAAAAACTAAAATAAAATTTCATAACAAAATAAAAAGAGAACAATAATAGTTAATATACTATCATTATCTTCAAAGTAGTTACTGAGTACAAGGCATAGACAAAAAAGATTCTCTTTTACAAAGATAACAGCACAAAGCTTTCTTTTTAGTGAACTATGAGAAACCAGTAGTATAACTGAAACAAAATAGCATACATATTAAAATATTTTTGAAACCACAGAATAGGTAATTTGGAGAATTACTTGAAATTCTCCTACTTCCTATTTATCTAGTTTTTATTCTGTCAGTTATTTGTGTATATATGCATAATATATGAGCTTTTCAGATAGAGTATTTAAAGATGAAATACGGGGACTGAGGATTTAGCTGAGCGGCACAGCACCTGTCTGGCAAGTGCAAGGTTGTGAGTTTGATTCCCAATACCAGAAGAAAAACAACAACAAAAAAAAAAAAAAGAAAAAAAGAAAAAAAATGAAATACCATGCCATTGTGCATATCACAATGCATCACATTTTCTGTATCCATTTATCATTTGATGGATACTTAGGTTGATTCCTCATCTTGGCAACTGTGAATACTAACATAGGAGTGCAGATGTCCTTTGACACACTGATTTCATTTTCCTTTGGATATACACCCAGTAAGTAGTGCGACTGCTGGATCATATGCTAGCTCTATTTGTGATTTTTTGAGGAACCTCCATAATTTTCCATAATGGCTAAACTAATTTCATTCCCACCAAGAGTGTGCAAAGACGTTTTTTCCATGTCCTTGCCAGCATTTGTTATCTTTAGTCATTTTGATAATATCTGTTCTTACTGGGTGAGGTGATAGCTTATTGTGACTTTAATCTGTTATTTCCCTGATGATTTTTTTTTCACGTATCTATTGGCCATTTGTATGTCTTCTTTTAATAAATCTTTTCAGGTCTACTGTCCTTTTTTGGGTCTGCTGTTTTTCTTTTTTTGCTGCTGAGTTTTTGGAGTTCCTTACATATTCGAGATATTAACCCTTTGTTAAATGTGTAACTTGCAAATATTTTCTTCTATTCTGTAGGTTTTCTCTTCATTCTGATGACTGTCTCCTTTGCTGTGCAGAAGCTTTTCAGTTGCTAAAATCTCATCTATTTTTATTTTTGTTTCCTGTCCAAAAAACCCTTGCATATTCAGATGTGCAGAAGGCTTTCTCCTATGTTTTCTTGTAGTGACTCTATACTTTGAGGTTTTACATATAAGTCTGGAGACTGAACCCAGGGTTCTACCACTGAGGTATATGCCAAACCCCACTCACTGAAGTCTTTAATCCATTTTGAATTGATTTTTAAAAAAAAAACTGGTAAGATATAAGGGTCTAGTTTCAATCTTCTGCCTGTGAATACCCTAACTGTCTCAGCATGCACTGAAAAGACTCTTTTCTTCAGTGTATGTTCTTCGCATCTTTGTGGAAAATCAGCTGGCTGGAAAAGTGACAGATTATTTCCGCACACTC